AAAACATACAGCTGCTGGAGCGAAGTGAGCGAGACCATGTCAGAGAGAAAGCCGTCCAGCTGCTGGTTGAAGAGGTTGGAGCTCAGGTCCCTGTGTAGAGGGAAAAAACAAGGGAGAGAGCAGGAAGCGCATGGAATAAACGCTCCTCAAGGCGTCTTAACGAGAGACAGCCCTCCAGCTGCAGGTTGAAGAGGTTGGAGCTCAGGTCCCTGTGTGGAGGGAAAAAACAAGGGAGAGAGCAGGAAGCGCATGGAATAAACGCTCCTCAAGGCGTCTTAACGAGAGACAGCCCTCCAGCTGCAGGTTGAAGAGGTTGGAGCTCAGGTCCCTGTGTGGAGGGAAAAAACAAGGGTGAGAGCAGGAAGCGCATGGCATAGACGCTCCTCAAGGCGTCTTAACGAGAGACAGCCCTCCAGCTGCAGGTTGAAGAGGTTGGAGCTCAGGTCCCTGTGTGGAGGGAAAAAACAAGGGAGAGAGCAGGAAGCGCATGGAATAGACGCTCCTCAAGGCGTCTTAACGAGAGACAGCCCTCCAGCTGCAGGTTGAAGAGGTTGGAGCTCAGGTCCCTGTGTGGAGGGAAAAAACAAGGGAGAGAGCAGGAAGCGCATGGAATAGACGCTCCTCAAGGCGTCTTAACGAGAGACAGCCCTCCAGCTGCAGGTTGAAGAGGTTGGAGCTCAGTTGCCGCGTGATGGGGGTGATGTTATGGGGGTGATGGGGGTGATGGGGGTGATGTGATGTGATGGGGGGTGATGTGATGTGATGGGGGTGATGGGGGTGATGGGGGTGATGGGGGTGATGTGATATGATGGGGGTGATGGGGGTGATGTGATGTGATGGGGGTGATGGGGGTGATGTGATGTGATGGGGGTGGGGGGGATTAATATCAGAGGCGTCTCATCAAGAGAAAGGCCTCTAATTGCTGGTTGAAGTGATTGGAGCTCAGGTCGCTGCGTGTTGGGGGGCGATGGAAGAGGAAAGGGAAGGATAGGACGGAAATACTCGCTTCCTGTGGTGCCTCAAGAGAGAAAGCTGAGACTTGTTGAAGAGGTGTGGTGGAGGGGAGGAGATGGATGGATGGATGGATGGATGGATGGATGGATGGATGGATGGATGGATGGATGGATGGATGGATGGATGGATGGATGGATGGATGGATGGATGGATGGATGGATGGATGGATGGATGGATGGATGGATGGATGGATGGATGGATGGATGGATGGATGGATGGATGGATGGATGGATGGATGGATGGATGGATGGATGGATGGATGGATGGATGGATGGATGGATGGATGGATGGATGGATGGATGGATGGATGGATGGATGGATGGATGGATGGATGGATGGATGGATGGATAAACCCGCGTCCCCCCTCTCCCATCCCCCCTTCCCCCCCATTCTCTCGCCTCCCATCCGCCATTCCAACTCACCCCCCAAACTCCTCCTCACCCATCCACTACAACAGCACCACCCGCTCTCTCCCTGCTGTCATTAACGCCCTACCCCCTCTTCCTCATCCCACCATCCCTGTCCCCCTGTCCCCCCATCCACCCTTCCAACCCCCCCGATCGGCCCTCAGCCTCACCGACTACAGTAGCATCATCACCGGCTCGCTCCCTGCTTCCATCGGGGCCCTGCCCTCTCTTCCCCTCCATTCCCCCTACCAACTCCTCCATCCCCCCTTAACCCCCCATTCCCGCTCTCCCTATCCCGCCTTCCAAACCCCCTTACCCACCTCCAACCTCTTCGACTACAGCAGCATCAGCGGCTCTCTCCCTGCCTCCATAGGGGCCCTGCCCTCTCTTCCAAATCCCCCTTTCTTTCCCCCTATCCCCCCTTCCAACTCCCCCATTCGCCCCTCAGTCTCTTCGACTACAACGCCATCTCCGGAACCCTCCCTGCCTCCATAGGCGCCCTGCCCTCGCTCGTCTACCTGTACGCTCTAATCCAACTACCTGCCTTCTCTTCCTCATTCAACTGACTCGCCTTTTATCCTAAACCTGTGCTGCCTCATCTCACTCCCTCCCTTCCGCCACTTCAACCCCACTGCCTTGCTCCCATTGTCTCCCTCCCTCACATCACTACCACCACCACCACCATCACCACCACCACCATCACCATCACCATCACCATCACCATCACCATCACCATCACCATCACCATCACCATCACCACCACCAGGAGTGGCAGGAACAACAAGCTGCCTGGTGCCATGCCTTGCCCACATTCCCCTCATAGACCTGCCTTGCATCCCCTCACTCTCTCCCTTCCACTGTCCCTTGAGAATTCTCAAAAAACACACCTGCCTTGCATCCTCCCACTCTCTCCCTTCCACTGTCCCTTGAGAATTCTAAAAAAACACACCTGCCTTGCATCCTCTCACTCTCTCCCTTCCACTGTCCCTTGAGAATTCTAAAAAAACACACCTGCCTTGCATCCTCTCACTCTCTCCCTTCCACTGTCCCTTGAGAATTCTCAAAAAACACACCTGCCTTGCATCCTCTCACTCTCTCCCTTCCACTGTCCCTTGAGAATTCTAAAAAAACACACCTGCCTTGCATCCTCTCACTCTCTCCCTTCCACTGTCCCTTGAAAATTCTCAAAAACACACCTGCCTTGCATCCTCTCACTCTCTCCCTTCCACTGTCCCTTGAGAATTCTCAATAAACACACCTGCATTGCATTCTCTCACTCTCTCCCTTCCACTGTCGCTTGAGAATTCTCAAAAAACACACCTGCCTTGCATCCTCTCACT